AATAATGACGTCATTCATGCAGAATTAAACCTACCATACAATAACTTTACTAGCGGGAGGTTATTATTGACATAAAAAAAAAAGGTAGCTGTGGGAGTAAGGGAAAATATAAGCATAAGTAGTACTGTTTTACCGAATTGTATAAGTAAACACCCCACAAAAATATTTTTTTTATAATAAATAAAAACACGATTTAAACAAGTACAAATTTACACCAATAACCTCATATACAAGTAAATAATAAACAGAAATCTTATTTCATTCACGTACTCAAAGCAACACTACTATCGAGGAAAACAAAATGAACATTTTTAATTGAAACTTGCTTGTGTAACTCAAAATAAAGAACTGTCAAGTAGTTAATTCCGATAATTTTTGTCGTTTTAATGCTTTTAATCTGTATTATAATTGATACTGTCAATTTGAGTGGATTACTTTAAAGTTAATTATTACATTAAATTGTAATGATTTAATGTATCATATTAAAAATAAGACTTCAAGTATCTCAAACTGAAAATGCTTATGTTTTCTATGTACAATATTTTAATTGCTAGAGAATTAACAGAAAACACACCAGTTAATCAAGTCTAATTATGAACAATAAAACAAGACTTAAGAAATTTACAATTTAAACGCAACTACAATTTAAGACAGTGAAATCGACTACTGACCCAAAGAATTAAGAATGCGATAAATCCGTTTACAGTTATTTGGTTGCTCGTGAACTCGAGACAAAGAGAAGACATAGAAAAAGATGTAAGAGGAGCCTGGAGCAACAAGGTTCTCTTTGGAAGAAGCAACAGGTTAATGACACGATAAAATCTTAACTGAAAGAATTAGCATCTGTAAGTCCAATCGATTATACGATACAGCGTTAAGTGAAATGAATCTACTTGCATCACTGGGGAATACAAAAGTTGCAAGTAAAGTTAGCACATTCCTAAAGATTTAAAGATGGAGGAAAGGAAAAAACCCGGTGAGTTTAAAATTATAAAAACACAAAGAGTATGTCATTCGCTGCTATTTAAGTTTTCACAGGAAGCTTTAACGTTTTGTAACTTATCCGGTTTTAGGTTTAATGGTTTGGATAGATTTTCGCTGGTTGATCCTTTTTCCTAAAGCTTATATAACTTTTTTTTTGTCAAGGCATTTTGAAGAAAGTTTTTAATATGCGTGAGAAAAACTTACGTTAATCCAATAGCAAGATTATCTCAACGATAAAAATAACAATAAATATACCTCAATTATGACTTGTAAAAACCTAATTTCCATAAACAGAAAACGAATTCCAGCGTTATTCCGAAGAATGGAGAATATTTATTCCCATGTATTTAAGTTCAGTAACTGATTACCTAAAAGCAGTAACACTTCCTTCTCACAGGTTAGTGTCAAGATAAAAGTGAAAATTACAAACTATATAAATTAATGAATCATTGTAACAACATCGAAAGAAAATAAAAGCATCGCTAAAGAATAATAAATATCACACATCATTTAAGCAACGTAGGCCTATCTATGTCTGCCATCATCTACTTTGTGCAATATGAAGTCTCGTATAATTTGTCTTTAAATCATGCAACAAGATAGTGTTCGAAACAAGACTTCATTGATAGTGGTTTTTGCCTTGTCATAAAATAATCTTATTAAGAAAACAAGGCTTCTTATGACCAATGACTTAACCTGGAATACAAATGAATGACGATACAGTGTTATAAGACATATAGTCAACTTTAGACGAAGCTTGAAAATGCAAACAAAAAATTGGTTTGAGATTTCAAAGCTTCAGCTAAACAGACATTCGTTTTAGTTCAAAGCTGATCTCTATTCGACTACTGGGTTCGAACCTTAAAATTTACCAAAACCACCGAGAAGGGAAAAATATTTGAAAATATAGATGGTTTTTAACTGTGAACATTTGCTTGATAGCGTAGTTTTTTAACAATTGATTAAATTAAATTCACTTTTTTATCGGTTATATAATCGATCGTGCGAAATTTGAATGCACCTTTTAAAATTAATTTGTATGTGGAGGAATTAATCATTAATTATAATTAGATTTGCTCTACCATATTAAAATACATTAACAGTTTGTATTACGATTTTTTTTTATTCACAAAATGATTATAATTAATTTGTGTAATGGCACGCACACTTACTTACACACCTATAGTTTACATATGACCATTTTATCACTCTTACTAATTTGTTTAGTGGCTTCCGCTCTTATAGACATATGTATACTTCACATGTCATCATTGTTAACAGTTTGTGGCAACTACAAAACGAAAAGTTCTGAATGACACAAACTAAACAAATCTACACCAATTAAACAGCAGATATGTTATGCTCTACACTACACATTTCCAGACGTATTTTCAAAAATAAATAATTTTGGATACATTTCCAAACGTATTCACACATTTGGTGGATAATGCCTTTTAAAACATCCAAAATAAACCACATTCATCTTCTCTTAGCAAATTCATTGTGGTTTCAATACTTCCTTCTACTTCCGATTTACTTGTAATACTGCAACTTTGTTGTTGTTGTTGTCGTTATTTGTCTCTCACCTTTTGACCAGAAATATAACATCTTCAAGATAACTTATTAAAATGTCAAGATTATTCTTCGAACGTTTGATAATTACCGTGAAAACAATTAACAAAACACATTATATTACTTTGATTTCTAATCACCGGCATTAATTATAAAGAATTCCTCTTAAAACACAGATACATTTGTAAACCAAATTATTCGGTAATTTGCATCAAAAGTTAGTAGGTATCCTTCCGATGTTATTTTTGTCCCTTTTCTAGTACAATTTTCCAAATACTATGGATTAATATAATTAATTTTTTAAGCATCTATATTAATTATAAATATACAAGATAACATTTGCTTCTTTTCTCATTGACAGCTTTTAATTTTCTTTTCGTGGTTTTCTTGCATATTACATCTGGTTAATATATCATCTGTATTGATGGAAACGTTTTTATGAATAGTATTGGCCTTATAAGGTTGTGTTGAGGAAAATTAACAATCCTTGCCTAGATTTTTCTGGTGACCAAAAATGACGCAAATGATCTCTAATAGAAATTAAGCACCAAAAGTACCATTAAAGCACTACCTAAAACACTGTTAGCGTGCGAAGCTATAATCAACAACCAACATTATCACAATAACAAACGGCTAAGTTAGCGGTAGCAAGGGGGCTTTATATGCAATATGTGCATGTAGTATACTACTGATCTAATAGCTGCTGAATTGTCGCACGGTTAGTGAAAAACTACAGTAAATGCAACAAACTGTCAGAAGTCATGATAGCAGAGAAACTAGTTTCAACACATTCGTGCACCCTCTTCAGTTTCACGTTGTCTTCTGGCAGGAAGACTGGTCAACAATGCATGCCTACGTGATCATGGAACCCCAAATTCCCATAAGACTTTAAGGACACAAGACTGGAAGCTGTTAAGCTTAAAGTGACCTTGGGGGATGTTGAAATTCCAGGCTTTTGGTTAAGTAACTTTTTAAAAGTTACTCGTTTTGTATAAAATTGTGGTTTATTTCCTGTCGATTTGATGGCCAGAATTTCTCACATTAAGAAAAAATGTCTGTTTCCATATTTAATGTTTATGTTCAGAAACTAGCGTCTACACGTATTCCAGTTTCTCCTGCATAAACTTTCTTACAGCATTGACGCTTTTTTTGGATGTTGCTCTCTTTGATGTTATTTTTAATGGTGGCTCGAATAACCGAATGGCCTCTTCATTTGAATATGTTAATTTCGCATTTACGATATGCATAACAAGTTATGGTGTGAATTATAAGTGTATTGACCCGTTCTTAATTAGACAAGACTTATTAATTTGGTAATTTATGATATGGATGAAGTTAAAGCACCCCCCCCCCAAAAAAAAAAAGTTCTTGAGAAGTTGATGCCCATTATCATAGTCTTATCTTAAACTTTACTCCGAATATGTTCACAGTTTAAATCCATGTTACGATTTCCGCTTTCTGAAGAAATAAAAATACAAATTATTTTTATGGAATTAATTAGGATGATTACAAAAACCATCGAAAAAATATCTAAATAAAAATATTTGGGTAAGAAAATAAGAAATCTCATTTTTCACATTATGATAAGTTCAAAAACTACGTTAAGTAACGATATAAAAGTCCAATTACATTTTTCAAGAACTAAATGCGTGCAAGTGGCATAAATGTTGGAGGCCCCTTTGGAGTGGCCTGCATTTTACATTACTCCGAAATGGTTCTTACTGGTTTAATGACACGGAGTCAAAAGGACCAACTTCAAACACTTTGTCTTGAATAACAACTCATATTAAATGGTTACAGTTGTCTTCAAGAAAGAATAGGGATTATCTAATAAATTATTAGTGTAATTAATGATATAAACTCTAAATGAATTTACTTTTCGAGAAATAAAAATAGCTCACGATACCTGCCGACTGAGCTCCGAAGCTTGATCCAAATCTCTGTAAGAAATGAAATTAATCAAAGTTCAAACGTAGAACAAATGATTCAGTAAACATAGAAATGCTTGTTAGACCTTTGGTGAAATAACTGTCAAAAATCTGAGCAATTTAAGGTGAAATAACTAAAACAAATATGATATTGACCATTAATATTTCTACAGAAAGTACACATTTTCAGGGGGTAATTTGTTATTTACAATTTATACTGTTTCGATGGTACGGTGTTTAATGAATAGCTAATTTTCTAAAATAAAAGTATTAAGTTACTCAAGTTCGCAAACTGATTACAATGCATTACACTTGTGTAATTGCTTATACCTTTGATATTTATATTCATAATATACTAACAATAACTAGATATGTCTCCAACCTACTTTTGCTGCAGTTTCTGCTGAAACTGAATGAGATCGATTTCGAATCATTCCCATCATCTTCGACACGGGTCCAGACTTACTTTCGGACCCCGATCTTGGTCGCTTAAAATCTGAGGAATCTGCTTGGTTGGAAGGGTTGAACATACTGGGGCTGCAGTAAATTGGAGGTAGAGAATGAACTGGAGACTTCGGAGAGTTTCCTCCACTGCCACCAGAAGTCGGGGAAGAGAGTGTATGTTGGACAGATGTTCTTAAGGTAGATATAAAAGTCGGTCTATTTCTTTTGCTGTCGGATTTAGAACGTGGTCGAAATGAATCAAAAATGTTTGTCTTCCTAGAAGGACCACCCCCTGCAGTAACATCATCACCAGAAATTCTTCTTGATCGGCTGGTGTTAGACATCTTTGAAGTGCCACCAGAGAGAGAACGCATACGGTTTCTGGTGTTAGAGTCCCCTTCAGCTGAGAGCGACATCTTGTCAAAATCCACTGTTAAAATTTTGGGAACAACGAGAGACTGATTGTCCTGTAAAATGTAAAGATAAATGATTTTAAATTCAAGATAGAAAGTCTGGACTTTCACGAAATATATGCAAAATACTTTAGCTGTATACCATATCAAATATAGCATTTTTTACAATTATTTTTTCAGTTTTCTAGTCTTGTTTCGGACACGAAGTTTTAACTTTGAAATTTCTGTAGTCTAAATTAACTTGTATCTCGAATATGGCAAATAAATTAAAATTTCGTATGGCAAGACTAAGTAATGACGCCAATATGAATATATTAATTTAATTAAAATATTGTAAGAAAATCCACACACGTTTCCCTTTCTACCTTTAATGTTTATCGCAGGAAAATTATTAAATGAACTATTCACATTACGAACAGGATACGAACGTTCTTGATGTTAACGAACATTTTTGCATTTAATATAGTTAGATGAAATAGATTACAAAATACAAACCCATATTTGGTTATTACATGCATGTTAACTAATAGAGTTGTAGCTATTCATAAAATTACGTGATATTTACACAACATTTAATTCAGCTTTACTTTGTGTACATTAACTTTTTTAAACACATTCGACGTTCCAGTATCTCTTCTTGTGCACACGTAAATTGTGTGTATATACAAAGGCTGAGTAAGTTATATTAAAACGTTTTTGGAGTCTCACTGCGTCAATACAGAACATGTCGCCACCTCTTCCATCTAATGACTACGTTTTGACAATAGCTCGTAGCACATTTTCCAGTGTATTACGCTCCGTCGTAAGGCTGTAATGTCTATAGCACTCCTTCCTTCTTACTTTCCTTAAAGCACCGAGTGTACGAAGAAGACGATTTCTCAACGCCTGTTTCAACATTCCGATATCACAGAAATCCACAGACACTGCGTCCGCCGACTTGAACAAAATGTCTTCTTCTGGTATAGCATGAATATCCACTTCATTCTCCAGCTGCTTGAGCTAAACAGTAGTTGAACTGATATGTCGTGGGAACAACTTTTATACACGTGACTTATGCTGCTTTTCCAGACGGAGATCCTTTTTGACTATGTTGCCTGAGACACGTGGACGGCTTTTGCTATTGATCTTTGTGTTCGTGAATTATCACCTGTCATAAAACGCTGCACTAATCAGTCTGGGTGTACGACCTATTGCAAGTCTCTTTCAGGATGGTACTGATCCACATTCTTTTGTTTTCCAGTGCCATAAAATACACAGAATATCCTATTAATCCCCCTCCCCATTCTGAAGACTGAATGATCTCTGTGTGAATAATTTGGGTCGGAAAATGTTGGTATATCATTCTCTTCCGAAAAGCGATCATTTTTTGGTGGCATCACACTACCTACGCAACGTCAAATAATGTCAAAATGTAGTTTTGATGCATTCTGTTCCACTACGACTTTATATCAGTTGTGGTTGTCACGTTACTGATTTCATATTTTACGCAGAGTTGTACAAACACAACATGTGATGTATACGTAATTAGATTATTTCCCATTCCCTTGTAGTAATAACGCGTCCTCACCTACGTTGATAAGAATGCAAACATGCAATATAATCTGAGTAGCTTGAATACCAGATTAATTTACTGAATCCCGGCGATCTGGAACTTGAGAACTTAATGTCTCTTTTCGTAAGGGAAAAGATTATTTTCAGGCTTTGTGACGTCAATAATACAGCACGATTTCACGAGGACCATTCCTTTAGGTTTTGACTTGCTATCAGAGAAGGTAGCATGTTACAGTAAAGTAAACTAAGGATGAGTATAAAGAACGTGGATGTCTCGTGGACATGACAAGACATTATAATCAAGTAAAATGAACCATTTTTGAAGATTATCCTGAAATTAAAACATGCATGTCTTTGTATAAACATAAAACCTGTTGAATATATAATGGGTATTTTGTCATCAAAAACTGTAGAGGAAAATATTTATTTTGTTGTACATGGATATATACCTCAAGTAAATTATTTTACAACTAGGAACTAGATAAAAAAACAATGGTGGGCTAAGATAACTTGTAGTTCTAGTGCAATAAGTATATATGCGGATAATCAAAAACATTATATAAATGAAATTATATTTTGGACAATGACTGGTTTTCGTAATCATCAATTCTTATCGTCCGATATTTTAGAATTACCCTCCCGACACACAGAAAATTGCAATTTTAGGTTACCACACAACTTTTTCAAGTTATATTGATTTTACCGCTCTAAACATGATTATAACATAGAAAAAAATATTTATTTGTTTAGTGGAATATCCTGTATACGCTATAACAGATATAAAAAAAAAAATTACTTTTCCTAATGACATTTCAAATAATTCAAAACTACTTTTAACAATCTCGAAGACCAAGAGTCAATAGGCCATTTTTATCACTAAAAGATAAATGATAGAAGCTAATGAAATTTATAAATATTTTACTTAAAATTGTACAATTGCGAGTTTTCTTGACTTTTAGATCAATACAGATCATATCTGAGATGTACAAATAAAACAAGTCTGAACAATTAATGTCTTTTTTTTTAAAGCAGAAGTTGTCATATGAATTCGGGATACTGTTTTCTTTTTAATTCATTTTATCCATGAGCGTAATCTTAAAGCACTGGTCTACATTTATTTATTTGTCAAGGACAGTTTAATTAGTGACCATGAGCTGAGGAAAGTGGCTTGGTGGTATGAGGAAAGACAGTTTTAATTAATAACCAACAACAAATTACACTTCAAGAAGAAAATGCAACTGCAACAATAGCTAGCTTATATATCTCTGACGACAAGCAAGATCTCTCCACTAAGTTGTCTTGTATATCTCTGACTACAAGCAAGACCTCTCCACTAAGTTGTCTTATATATTTCTGACTACAAGCAAGACCTCTCCACTAAGTTGTCTTATATATCTCTGACTACAAGCATGATCTCTTCACTAAGTTGTTTTATATATATATATATATATATATCTCTGACTACAAGCATGATCTCTCCACTAAGTTGTCTTATATATATCTCTGATTACAAGCATGATCTCTCCACTACGTTGTCTTATATATCTCCGAGTACAAGCAAGACATCTCACCAAGTTGTCTTGTATATATCTCTGACTACAAGCAAGACCTCTCCACTAAGTTGTCTTATATATCTCTGACTACAAGCAAGACCTCTCCACTAAGTTGTCTTATATATCTCTGACTACAAGCAAGACCTCTCCACTAAGTTGTCTTATATATCTCTGACTACAAACAAGACCTCTCCACCAAGTTGTCTTCAAACAATTTTTAATGAAAATGTTATACGGACCGAAAATCAGAGTTCTGGGGGGCGTTCCTGGTCCACTGACTGCTTATTAGTTTTCTAGCGTGCTGTTTTGAATGAGTAAGATATTATAATGAATTCATTTTCGACTGGTTTAATTAAGTGATGTCACAAACTGAGAACTGGTTGTTATTAAGCACAAAGCTATGCAATGGGCTATCTGCACTGTGATCACCGCGAGTATCGAAGCCAGATTTTTCGCGTTACAAGTCCTCAGAATTACCGTTGAATCAGCGGGAGTTGGGGGCAACTTAGGACAAAAGCGTGTTGTAATGAACCTTGAGTCTTTTGAGGAAAGATGTTTGTAACTTAGTGCCCGTAGGAGTTTTTTTCTAGTCCAGTTTGTTTTCTTGAAATTTGTTTTGGGTGTGTTATCAAACTTGTCTTACATAGATTTTTTTTTTGTAATATACCCTTTATTAACTGGCAAGACTAGAATGTATGAATCTCACACGTCATATAACGCTCATTCTGCGTCAGCCCTGTATATTTGAATATTTTAACTCACTTAAAAAAAAAAAAATGGATGAGCCACAAAAGAATAGCTTACATATTAGGTGACTTGTTGTTTTAACTTTTTTTTAAAAAATAGGGAACGAAATAGTACGTTATGTATAAATACACACGAAATTTATCAATACTGTTTTGCAGTTTTAGTGCAACTCATTATTATACAACTTAGTTGATAATAATATTACAGGATACCGTATTTCTTGTAGCGTCAACACTGGTGAATTATTTAATTCATGAGGAAACCGATACAATTTTTAAACTTAAGTCTCTTTTCTTCATAAACTGACTTATTTTTAACAAATGGGTGAACAAAAAAGTACAAACACAACTAAGGATCATAACTATCGATAGGAAATATAATGGGTCTAATCATCAAGAACTTAACGAATTGTTTGTAAATTTTACACTTTATTAGAGTGACCTAGTAAGTCATATTTGATTAAGAAAAAGTTTCTAAATTCTTTGTATTCTTCATAACTTTTAAATTAAATGCTAAAGTAAAAATTCAAAGCTAGATTACAGGTAACACGATGACACTTCCTAAAAGATATGAGTAATCATTGACAATGTACTAAATGCTAAAGCAAAAATTCAAAGCCAGATTACAGGTAACACGATGACACTTCCTAAAAGATATGAGTAATCATTGACAATGTACTAAATGCTAAAGCAAAAATTCAAAGCTAGATTACAGGTAACACGATGACGCTTCCTAAAAGATACGAGTAATCATTGACAATGCACTAAATGCTAAAGCAAAAATTCAAAGCTAGATTACAGGTAGCACGATGACGTTTCCTAAAAGATACGAGTAATCATTGACAATGCACTAAATGCTAAAGCAAAAATTCAAAGCTAGATTACAGGTAACACGATGACGTTTCCTAAAAGATACGAGTAATCATTGACAATGTACTAAAACTGAAATTTTTATAAATCACAGTATTAGAGTAATTCAGGAAAGAAGGCAAGTATTCAAAACTCATTGTAGATGAATTTCGTTTTTGAATATTAGCCAAGTTTCTCAGTATTTTTAAAACAATTCCACAAGTAAAAATAAAATATCCCTCCCCTAAACTTTTTCAGAAGTTTAGATTGCTTTTACATAACTAACGTTTAAACTCTACATTAAAAAAAATAGCTTGACCTGCGCTTGGTAGTAACAGCTTAACAATAGGAACTT